CCTTGGTTGATCTCAGCTATTCTCAACATTCCGAAGAGAATTCATAAAGACAACAATATTATTGCAATAACCTAGTGGAATAAAATAACTGACTGTATATATGGAGCACATTCCATAATGCCACTTCAAGATGAGCAAATCCACTTATGCTTAACAAAACAGCACAATATGAAGACTGAGAAGTCTTGGTTTTCCTTAAAATTACAAAGTCTGTGGGGTGGGGGGTGTTAATCAAGGTGATTGTGGTCATTTATATTTAGTGGCACAATATTTACCAAAAATAATCCTTTTACACTCGTCAAACAGATGTGACAAGAAATTTGAGTTTCGGAGAAAATCCTTTTTTTTTTTTTTTTTTTAAATTTACTGTATCAATGTGTTATCATTTAAAGCATTAACAACAGGGCTGGCCGGTTAAGGGATTGGGTGTCTTGATACATCAAGTGAGAAGGTAAACTTTGGCCTCTCATCAACATGCGACTGGACAGCTGCTTGCGTTTGCAAAATGCACATACAGGGGCACACACATACGCACGCACACACACACACACACACACACACACACACACACACACACACGAACACACACACACACACACACACGCACACACACACACACACACACACACACACATCCATACTCTCCTTACAGACATCCGTTTGCTGTTTTAGGATCAAATTAAGGTCGGAGGAATTTCACACTGATGGTAGACAGGAGTCACTTCACCTGCTGCAGTTTGTTCTAATGACAGATGAAAGACTGACTTAGCTTGATTAGATCTGGCCCCACATTCTCTGCGCAAAGGCGACTCTCAAAACATACAGTAATCTCGGCCACCACTGTCACAACCGCTCACACACTAAGACCCCAAGCCGTCCACTGTGACACAGATGATGAAATATCCGAATGCGCTCGCAGCATTTAGCCTCCATTCGGTGCCACTCGGCACACACCTTCGGATCATTACAAATTGCCCGTGGTGTTCCGTTTCGAACAACAGACATGCTTACTTTTGATGGTACCACTGAAAAAAACAACAACCTTGTTTACATAAACAGTTCACAGTATGGATGGGACACTACACGCACAGACACACATACACGATTAGAACGTAGTGTACTCTGTAGAGGCCCTTTAAACACACTTTGTGTCTGTATAAACAGAAAACTGCTCTAATGTTCTCTCTTGGCCCCTCTCTCATCACGCCAGAGGTGTCGGTTAATGGAAGATCCTGCATTAATGCAACGGCCGTGATGAAAAACAAAACATGAAATATTCAACAAAGAGCAGTTTGAATCACTAACACAAAAAAACACCAACGGCTAGCTGATCACATTCCATGGCAAAATTCTCTTCAACTCAGGAATGACCTGATTACTCAAATGTGATCTGAGATGAACTTTTATGTGCATAACAGCATATAGTTGCAGAAGTAATTGAGCGATGACATTGATTAGAATTATAACTTTATAAAACACCACGATGGATTTAAAATATTCTAATCAAGATGTCAGTAAATTGTGGACTTTCAGCTTTGATTTGAGACACTCCAGAAAACGATGCCATTTACTCATTAAAAATGACACATTTGACAGAAAATATCAATTTCTGAAAGTTAAAAAAAAAGATGCAAATATAAGTGTCAACTAATTATCAGTACTGTACTTGGATTTTAAAAAAAATCGTGCATGGTCGATCATCACCCAAATCAGATGCGTTGCCAGTACTGAAGAGTGGTTGCCTTCAGTTGCTGCTTGTTTTTGGAGGTCCTTGCCTTCATTTTTGATACTGCCACTGTTACTGTCTGTGGAGACGATATGGGTTACACATGCCATTATTTATCCGTTTTAGCCGTGTACTGCATTGTAAATAAGTGTTCAGCTTCCCTGCTATCGGTCTGTAAGGTGACCTAACAGCATATACACCCATCCGTCTGTTAACACAGACGGCCTGGGCAGCGAGCTATGCTCTGGGGCCCGTGGTGGCTGCATGTGGGGGATGCAGGGGCCTGTTGATGCAGCTGTCCCACTCCAGAGTAACATAAGACCTTATTAGAGTCCATTAGAGCACTTTGAATTCAATAAGAGATTGTCCAGTACATCCAAACATTCGCACAATTCACATGGCGTTAGGAAGGGAAAAAAGGTTGATTGGCTAAAGGGCTTGCTGTTGGCTACAAGGTGCTGTTTGCTAACATTATGCATTCGCATATACACAATAAAAGTCGAAGCATTCTTAACACGACATCAATCTCGTACTATGGATTTGATTTGACATGACAGTTATTTGCGTCATTATAGCGGACGTGCTTTTCGAATTATTCTAACGATATTTCAGCCATCACAGGTCATAACCTCGGTCAGAGGTGGATGTCTTTGTCTGGTCAATGTCTGTTTCTAAGCGTTATCAGAACACCCAAAACTCATGATAATCCTCATTTATCAGTGCAAAACAAGTATACATTTGTTTCCTCTATCTTTTGATGTTTTGTTAGGACAGGATGCCTGCATGATAAAGCATGAGGACAGTGAGTCTACCAGAAGTCCACTATCCCAGAAAAGATGTTCCCTTGGCCCCACCAGCAGGGGTTTTAACCCATGACACTCTCTTTGATCTTTAATTCACAATGAGCCGAGGTCTGGAAAGTGCATCAACATGGCAGCATTTGCAACCAGATATTATTTTAAAAAATGCAGATATTGTCTCCTATACTGCACAAGAAGAACATTACAGTCATTGTGGACAGCGAGGGAAGAAATGTCTGCTTGGAACATATTTTCATATTCCGGAGCAGAACATATAGAATGACATAAACCACTGCTGCCAGCCACATTGAAGACAGCTTGGGGTTTTATAGCACATGCTGTGTCTGCAAGCACTTTTGGCTTTGATTTGAAAAAAAAAAATGTAAACACATGCATAAACCAGAAGAGCATGAATTAAACAGGAAGTTGCCAGAAACCACTGATATGTGTAATCTTAGAGTTTCCATAACAATTTTCGAAAAAGCAGAGGTTGTCATGTTTATATATGGGATAGTGAGAAAAGAGGCAATGGGGAAGAATGGGGGCAGCATGATGTTTGAGTTCTGTTCAAAGACTCTGTGTTAGCTCTGGAAAATGATTGCTATCAATTGCTATGACGCTCCAATTTTGTTTCAGGGTGTCACAGTATGCTGTATCTGATTTTTAAATTATGCATTTGACTCGGAATAATAAGAAATGCATGCATTGTGGTAGCTAGTTGGAACATTATGAAACAGAAACTTTCTGTCGGTAACCTAGGTCATGATTATGTTTTTCAGAATTCATTGTTTTCGAACCCGTATACCTGAATTGTGTATTTTAAATGTTAAAGTTTTGTAGTGCCAAGGCTCGCTTGATGCAAAATCATCACCGTTACGTCACAAATCCTCTGTACTCACTTAGTCGCTTGGTCCCAATGGCAACATCACAACCAAAAATCAGAGACAGATTTCCTATAATGCATTCAAAATAAATTAAGAAATAAATGAAATCATGGTTGGCACGTCTCCTTCATAGTAGAAATTCTAGTCTTGAATCTCAAGCATTTTCCCCAAGCTGAAGTGGCTTCCTCTCACATGCGCGTGAATGAAGGTGAATGTTTTTTTTTTTCTGTGTGCCCTCTAATTGATTGATGAGTTTGTACCCCTATTACAAGTGGCTCTATCTCACCTGAGGCCATATTGAAGCCAAGTGGCCATCTAAAATGGATGGATAATTAAAACGAATATATTTAACAGTGGGTGGCATGGTGTTGAACTGGTTAGCATGTCCGCCTCACAGTACCGTGGGTTCGATTATGGCTCGGCCTTCCGGTGTGGGATTTTTATTTTCTGCCTGTGCCTGCGTGGGTTTTCTCCGGGTACTCCGGTTTTCTCCCACATTTCAAAAACATGCATTGCAGATTAATAGCACACTCTAAATTGTCCCTTGGTGTGAGTGTGAGCATGAAGAGTTGTTTGTCTATGTGTCCCCTGCAACTGGCTGTCAACCCGTTCAAGGTGTAACCCGCCTACTGCCTGAAGACAGTTGGGAGAGGCTCCAAGATAACCGCGAGGATAAACAGTTCGGATAATGGATGGATGGATATTTAACAATACAATATATTTGAAAACGACACGTAAAATGAAATGCAAGAACAAGTAAAAAAAAAATAGAAGGACCGTGGAGAACTGATACTTTTTACTCACATCGGTAAAAACTCAAGTTGAGGTCAAGTCGAAGAAAATCAGACCATGCACTCATTGCGTACTTTTGCTCCTGCAACCGACTGACAACTCACATCAGTCTTCTGCATATCATGCTTGATAATGTCGTAAGCAGACCATAGACCAAAATTAGACCAGGATAGCTGGAAACCACCTCCAGGGTATCAATACACATTCAGGGTGAAATTGAGTATCTCCAGACTTGATTTAATGCCGACTCACTCATGTCTCCTCCAACACCCACAACCACCACCACAGTTATTTCGTATTTTAGCATCCGTTCTCCAACCCTCTTCTTTCTTCTATGTTATCACTTCTTCTGGTTCTGATTCCCCCCAAGTTAATGATGTGACACAGAGCGGCTTACTCTCAAACTACCGTGTGCTGAACACCACAGCCAAGACCTGGATAACACATTATGCATGAATGGAAAAATAAATGTGTGACTGCTGATTCATCCACCCCCACTATGGTTTTCTTTGGTTCTTTTGAACTGCACACACAGAACACACACGCATCAACTTAAAACAAAGATTGGACATTTTATGTTATAAAGGTTCTGGGTTGACAGATATGGGGTGTGAAATTATGTTTGGTAAATGTGCATTTTAAGACATCCAATATTTCAATGACAAAAGGCAACGTGTGATTCAGGGAGGCCGGTTCAAGAATGCATAAAAGAAAATAAATGTTACATGGGAAAGTGACAGACACAATAAAACAGCAAATGATGAATGCGCGCAAGAGGGAAAAAAAAAACTGTCTTACTTTGGCAGGTGCTGCTCCTTTCTTCGTAGCCTGCGTTGCACAGACACTTTCCAATGGGCACGAGCCACTCGCCCTCTGTGCTGCAGTACATTCGCGGAGGTTCCTCTTCTTTTGAGTTATTGACGCATAAACCTTTCACCTCAACCAGTGACTGGGAGTCCACTGGCACCGTGTCAGGGAAGGAGGCCAGATTCTTCACTGTGTTTGGGCACTTTTTAAAGTAAACCCTCACAGAGACTAAAGCGACGCAGGCACCCACGTCCTGGAATGCCAGGTAGAAGCCCTTCTTGGTCAGGGGGCCCACTTCACGCACTTCAGTGTTGAGTTTGAGGATGCGGTCGCCAAGGTCCATTTGAGTGAAACTTTCATCCGCAGCTATGGTGTCAATCTTGGAGAATTGGTGTTCTCGGAAGTGACTACCTTGGTCGTCATCGGTCTCCAAGTAGAGAAGGTTGAAGGTCTCCTTGCATGTGCCCAGAACTAGTGGGATGGAGTTGCAGTCCCTCAGTGTGAACTTGAGTTCAACGTAGATCTTCTGGGCTGACTGACGAGGGATCCAGTTGGTGCGAAGCCAGTTGTTCTGGCTGTACTCCATTACGTTGCACACCTGGAAAGTCCGGATGGGTGTATAATGCTCATCCACCCCACTGATTTCCTCCCACTGCAAAAAAAAAAAAGGAAATGGATGGAAAGGGACAAGGGACAAAAGTAGGGGAAGACGAAGAGAAGCAAAAGATAGGCAAGTCGCAGAGGTAAATGCAGGGGAAAATTTGCAGGAAGGAAAGAGAAAGTAAGGAGAAGAAAGTATTTAAAGATAGAAACCGTTGAAGTAAAAGATCAGGAAAGAGAAGCAGGCAGAAGTTAAAGAATGAGAATGTGCCAGAAAAGTATTTGGGGTGAGTGGAAGAAGAAAGAAGGGAAGCATCAGAGAAGCAGAAATAAGGAAAAATAGGGAAGGATAATAGAGAGAAAAAAGAACGTTATTGCCATTCTGCAAGATTCACAGTTACGTTATTTCAATTCAGACACATCCATGCTGAAATCTAAACACTTAAGGGCGGAAAAATACCACTACCAGATCTATTATAGAACAGTGAATTGTAAACAAATTGGTCAATTATTCTAGAGATGAAAAAAAACATGATTAAAATCAGTACAAGTTACGAGATCATCATTTAAAAAAAAAATCTCGTAATGTTTTTTTCCGCCCCTTTTACTAACAGTTGATCTACAAGTGAGGACTGCAGTTTTTGGCTATCTACGTAACAGTAATGCCACTAATAGAAACGTGCGGTAACTACTACGAAAATAAAGAAGCTAGAAAGTATGGAGAGATTTCAGTGTATACCAGGAACGTTCATGGCTATCTTACATTTTCCCTCCACTGGAAGAAAGCGATGAGAGAGGAAAGGAGACAAGAAAGCGGGGTCATTCCTTTTGAATTCAGCACAGTGGGAAGACTCATTGATCATACGCTTTAGCTTCGCAGTTCAGGAAAACCAAAAGTGAATCAGAGAGATGACGAACGAGAAAACACCTGAAACACTGGGTTCATTGTGGTTACATGGACAGTCATTGGAATGATTGGGTCTAAAGGGGGGCTTTGTTCTCTTCTGGCGGAATAAAGAATGGATGGGAGCCTGGATGGGCAGTACTTTTGAGAAACAAAGAGAGAGACACACTTGATAAGTGGAAACAAAACTACCACTTTTGGACAAGTGTTACTTAAACTTAAACCCTTCACGCATTCACATATAGTTCACATAGAGTTCATGTGGCATGTTGAGGTGCACGCAGACTCAGCGGGCGCTTTAATGCGTGGACGCAGTATGGCAAGGTTTGAATGCTTCTGTTTGTTGCCACCGTGTGTGCCAATCATATCTTTAGAGTATTCAAGGACCTCTCGGGCTGAAGTATAGCCACTTTCTTTTCATCTCTTAGTAAAAGACCTCAAGTGAAAGTCTGGAGAGCTGGTGAGGGGACGCAAGCTCAAGTAGAGATTGCACCAAAGAGCAGAGCGATGGATGAAGGAGAGAGCACCACAAGCTACAAATAATGGCCCTTGAAATTCCACTGGTGTTTATCCTCCACTGTCGCAGTTTCACAGCATCACCTCATTCATCAGTGTAGTCTAAGTGCTCTATAGGTCGAACAAAAACAGGCAGAAGGAGGCATACTTGAGTGCTCTGGCTTAATAAAGTGAACATTTTATTGTTGTTGTTGTTTTTTTTTAACTTCAGGGAAACTTTAAGTAAAACTGTGTATATTGAGATGTCGTCAGACACTCGCCTGAAGTCAGCTAGGACAGGCTTCAACTCATTTGTGACTCTGAAGAGTATAAGACATCGTAAATGGATACGTGGGACTACAGCTAGTTTTTGGTCATGTGTATTTTTTTTTTTTCAATCAGAGGTCTTGCTTTTTCTGTTTTTTTTTTTTTTTTTTTTTTAAACTAATGAAGGTGAGTGGCGCAGAAAATGGATGCGTGAATGTTTAAATCCAAGTATCGGTGTTATTAGTTTTACTGCCTCATCTGTCCCGCCTCGGTCGTTCTGTTTCAGCCAATCAGTTACCAGCCTCCCGCAGTGTTCTACCCAGAGGTGTCTTTTCTGTATGGTAACTAATTAAGTCTATTTAGTGCCCCATTTGTAATTCAGTGGGTTTGGATCATTGATGTTTTGTGGCGCCATTCCCTGCCTTTGTTAATGTTGTTGCTGTTGAGCAACCTCCAACTGGGTCCCAAAGCGGCTCCTAAAGCCACAGCGACCCGGGTACCTGCAGACACAGTTGTCGGTCGTTGATTGGGAACTGTTCGGCGCCCAACACCGCTTGGAGGTCGTTCCCGAGTTGGGCTGTTACTGTTGTTGTTTATGTGTGAGAAAGTTCATTTCATTTTGCTTGGCGCTGCTTGCATCGTGACATGCCCTGTCTTTCTCATTTAAAAACTTTCTGCTCATTGAGATAATTTCCAATTTAGTTTAAACATGATTTGTCAATTCCTGGAAAATATCTATAAAACCGATTTACACGTAAATAGGCAGCTGATACAAAGCCAAGCGTGTCGGGCTTGTGCCTTGATCACAATTAAATCAAAACAGACAAATAAAAACTAAATTGCTTGCCTTGTCTATTTTTTTCTTCATTCATTATGAGAAAAGGGGACGCTATCAGAATCTCTGAGGTCACGTGCCAAGTATCGCACCGCGCCACACTATTTGAGAAGTGAAGTAGAAGAACACTATTACTAATTTAGTGTTTAAATGGCTGTAAAACACAAAAAGATTATTTAATAAGACCCATTCGGTGTCCAAAGTCTTTTCATTTACAGCAAAATGACATGCACGTAGGTATTAACCGTTCATCAACTGAATTGGTAAAAATGAAGGTTTAGAAGGTCAATAAGAAGCTCATCCAACAGCTGAGGAATCTCCAACCGTGGATACGGAGATGCTCTCTTCCCAAACTTGTCTCAATAATTAAAAGCAACAAGCGGACAAGTCTTTTGTTTATCACCTGGTGTGTGAAACTCCCCCTCCCTTTGGCTCCTAATTGACATACAACAACACGAGGACCCTACGCCGGTCCTTGTGACCTCTGCCCCCTGCCCCCCATGGTCACAGCTGGGCCACTGTTTGGCGTGATCTTGTCCTAGGTTTCTCTGATCTTTGCTGTAGGTGAAGCAACTTAAGGGACAGTAAAACGAGAGTGCAGTAACATGAGCTGTTAAAAGAAATTACACCCACGGCAAAAGGCACGTCTCAGCAGTTCACCAGTTCACCCGCTTCAAAGAAAGGTCAATGCGAGTTAACGGGCCAGTATGGGGGCCACTATAGGGTAACAATGCTTTTAGACCAAGACTTGAGGAAGCAAGATGGACATTAAGCATCCTGAATGAATTCAACAAGAATCATTGATGAAATTGGGTAGTGACCATAAACCTTGTGATGTTTGTGAGCATATTTGTATGTGAAGCCTATACTATAAACTTCACCCTATAAATAAAAGAATGCTTGTATAAAACATGCATTGGACTAATGGTGATTCCTGAGCAGTTAATGGTTTGATCATGGAATGTTTTTTTTTTTCCCCTCCACAGTAGGACAGGGCTGTCCACAACAAGTGTGGAGCCATCTTAAACTCTGGCCTCTGTAGGGGACACGGGGGTCACAGACACGACAACTGCTGCATATCAGTCAAAAGACATTTCTTCAGCCTATGTTTTCCAAAAGGAGCACACATGGCATGCTTCCTCTATTTGACTTTGCTGCCAATCTGATTTGGGGGTGAATTTTAAATGAGGAAAGATGTGAATGTGTGTCATGTTCGCAACACAGATGAGGTGGTGTAAATAAAGCCATGCTAGCGTCCGTTCGGGAAAGATTGTGTACAAGTTGTGATTATTACCGTATGAGACTTCTATGATGTGATGGGAAAAGACAGTTTTTGGCAGTCTTGTGGAGCTACAGAAACAATTACAAGGACGTCTTTTGTATTTAGCAGTCACATTGACTCGACACTCCTTTTTACTGATGCCAATATACCAAATGGCTTGCAGAGGAGGGAAAATATTGAGGAAAACTTTGATGAGACAGTTTATAATTTTTTTCCTTCAATAGGTAAAATCCGCACTGTAGAGAATCGATTTTTAAAAAAATTGTTTTAATAGTTTTATCCCCCAAACACATTCGAATCAATTTTGAAAACATATTTGAATGCAAAAATTACAAGTTGCAAACAAATGTCTGTGTCCATTCAAGTGCCTTTTAGAGGCAGAGTCTGGTGAGGTGACACGTGATCCGAGTGTGCGTCCGAGTGTTTGGACATGAGCGGTGGCATTACAAGTGTTCATTGTCTTTATTTGTTTTACTGTTTACCTGGCCTTTAACAGATGACTTAAAAGTGCATCGGCGAATGTGGTTCATCTTTGCCGCATGAGCATTACAGTTAGTAAGTGCATTGTAAAAACTCATTTAAAAAAAAAAGATAATAATTATAATTGGGAAAAAAAATGAAATAATGGGGGTCGAAATGTAAGATCATATAGTGAGGGAACACTGTTTTGTTTTTCATATAATCTTTGAATCATTTTCATCTGAATTGAACAACTTTCCAAGTGCTGATTTTGTTGGGCTGAAGCAGTAAATTAGATGGAAAGAAAACATTTCTGTTACATAAATTGTAACGGTTATCCTATATTTAAGTACTTTTTCTGAATGTCATATTTTTCAAGTAAAATGTGTCTGATCCATCCACTTATCCTGCTCCAGGTCACGGGGAATCTCCAGCCTAACCCAGCTTGACTGCGGATTTAACACAGAATACATCCAGGATTGTTTGCAATCGCACATCAAGAGAAATACAATTCAATCTAGCCTTCACTCAAAGCGGGAATTTATCTCATGCTGGGTGCACAAAAGTCAACCATGTGTACCAGTATGTTCGGCGTTTGCAGTTTAATGGCATGAATTTCAACTCCATTCATAAACTTCAACTTTTGCTCAAGTTTATGATCACGGGATATGCAAAGTTGTTGGCCAAAGCTAGAACGTCGTCGTATTCTCCACTGCTTTCCACGAAAAACAGACTTCACACTGTGTGTACCCATTAATTCTATTTGCATGTCCAGAGAGTGTCTGGGGTGTTGGTTTGTTGCTGAAGAATGCTTTCAGAGCACTCAAGAATGTAATCTGTAACTCTCTTTAGTCTTGTGGACGGCTAAGCTCCCAGGACACCGCTCCGCCATCAGCCTGCCTCCCAAACAGATAAGAGAATATCTGGATCACACACATTGGCATATACTAACACACAGACCCTCATCACTTCAGCCTGTCTACACTGTGAACATCCTGGGAGGCTGAACTCTTTAATTTGCTCTGACCGGAGCATGTTGTGTCTCAGTGGACCAATAGCCACCGCCTCACCGTCAATGTGAAGGAGTGTACGTGTGTGTCAGGGCTCGGTGCCACATTATGAGAAATCATTTGTGCGCAGCAGTGTCCCACGGCAGGCTGCTTATCGGAGCAAGTCACTAGATGACGTGAGTAATTACAGATGATTCACCTTGAGGACTTCATCATCAGCATTCTTTCCCTCCCTGTCTGTCTCTCATCCTGACTTTCTCTGTCTCTTCTCTTATCTTTTTTGTCCCTCATATCGATCAATCCCTGTCTTTTCGATAAAACTCACATTCAATAAGGACATTGCAGCAGTGGTACCCCTGCCTACGTTATTTATTTTCTTGTACGTCTCACTCCCAGTCGTGCAATGTAACAGAGTACAAATATGGCATTACGGTATTTAAGTAGAATTTTCACATAACGTCGCTGACGACACATAGTATCCATTATAGTCAATAATTCTTTCTTGTTGAGCACATTAGTACTTTACAGTCCTGTTTTTGCGGTGTTGTCTTTTTAAAAATCATACAATTACGTGTGGACTGTTGCTACTTTTAGAATCGTACAACTAAGATGATTGCCAGGCTAACGTGTGCGAGCTCATTTATTAACATGCAAAGCTGCACCACTGACGAAAACTAAACACTTTCAAAGTTCAACACCATACAAAACAATCAAGGTGGCCCGGTGTTTCAGTGGTTAGCGCGTCTACCTCACAGTGCAGAGGGTTCAATTTCAGCTCCGGCCTCACTGTGTGGAGTTTGCATGCTCTCCCCGGGCGTGCGTGGGTTTTCTCCGGGTACTCCGGTTTCCTCCCACATTACAGAACCATGCACGGCAGGCTGATTGAACACTCTAAATAGTCCCGAGGTGTGAGTGTGAGCGCGAATGGCTGTTCGTCTGTGTGTGCCCTGCGATTGGCTGGCAACCGATTCAGGGTGTCCCCTGCCTACTGCTCGAAGACAGCTGGGATAGGCTCCAGCACCCCCCGCGACCCTAGTGAGGATAAGCGGATTGGAAAATGGATGGATGGATGGATGGATTAAAAACAATCAATATTCTAACCATTCACTCTTTGAAATGTTTTCACTTCCGATAGTTGTCCAAGAATAGGACAAATTACTTTAAAAATAAACTACCAAAATCAGGGCCAAGCTATTACCATCATCGAATATATTAAAATTGACGTAGTACTTTAGTTTTACATCATCTCCAGCTGGCATGACATTGAAGAACCCGGTCCTACAGCTGCTCAAATGTCAAACAGCAACAATTGTACCCTCTCTCACATAGCTCTGCCTTAAAACATGCAGAGTGCCGTGAGATGCGTCCACAGAACTTCTGCTCTTCATACAATCCAAATAAAGCAAAACACAGGAGCAAATCTTTGATGCTCAGTGAATTGAGGTGTAACAAAAATTGTGGACATCATGCATGTTGCAATATGACGTCTAATTTTTTTGGTTGTTATTTAAGATTATTTTCAAAATTTCTGACTTAACAATTTTTATCCTATTCTAAAATATATGTTTTATTTTTGCATGCGTATAATTGTGGAATGTACTTTACTTTTCTCACTTAAACCAGAGTTTACATACATCGTTTTGGCCGACACCTTTCAAGCTTTTTCACTGTTTCAGACAATAAATATATTTTCAATATAAACTTTAAAAAATAATCAAATTAGAGCCTTTTACAGGGTGCCAGTCCCATATGCGACTGAGGAAAAACTTCTGGCAGCTCCTCTGAGCAAATGAGAGTTATTTTAAGTCACAGCCAAAAACACTTAATCAAGGAAAAATAAGAAAAATAAGTGCTCCTAAGTGTGTGTGTGAGTGTGTGTGTGTGTGTGTGTGTGTGTGCGTGCGCGTGATTATGCGAGTGCGCGGGCCAACCCTGAGGCACAGTAGTCTAACCAGTTAGACAAATAAACTGAGCAAGAACCCAGTGCCGAGACTTTGTAGTGGAGAAAGGCTGACAGATGAGCCTACAAATGTTTTTTTTTAAACCCCAAAAATAGTCGTGCGAATTCATTTTTAAAAGCACACTTTCGTGTGAAATTTGCATAATGCAATACCAACATTTTTGCTGCGGTTTGAAAAAAAAAAACTTTTCTGTGGATGCATGCACTGATTATTGTTTAGTATCCCAGCAAAGCTACAGTATATCACCACGCAGGTACGAGTCAGTTTTGTTTCTTACAATCCAAGCATTTCTATCAACACTTTATCGGCCATCACATTCTGAAATATTTTTTTAACAAAGAAAATGTGTCAAAGGGTATTATTTTATTATTAACAGGTAAAATCTTTTCACGGTACCTTTTCTTTTAATTCTGGATACTATGTAGGTATATGAATACATTGTATTATGACAATAATGATTTTAAATTTAACTGAGATTTTTTTCTAAACCACACCGCAACAAAAATAGGTCCGCTACCAGAAGTCATTGTGGAATATCCTCTAATATCAAATATTGGTTTATTCAATATAACACGTCAATTGCAGTGTTTTCATTAAAAAATAAATAAAGGGTGGTAAAATACCAGGTCAGTTTTGAATGCATATCGTGCCAGAAAGAGGTTAAGCATATTGCAAATTCCAGCAAAGATGCTTTTGTCCAAACAATCCAAAATCTCTTAATACCATAATCTTTCTTTTAATGAACACACACACACACACACACACACACACACACACACACACACATAATTACAGTAAACACCAATACAAACATATTCTCTTAAGCATCTTGACCATATGGCGAGTGCTGAATGTTTATACCCTTCAACCTGTGAGATGAAGAATGGACCAAAACGTCGAAACAAAAGTGGGTTAATCTACACTTGTTTTATTCGTCTGACATAAAAGAGAGAGAGCGAGACAGAGAGAGAGAGAGAGAGAGAGAGAGAGAGAGAGAGAGAGAGAGAGAGAGACAGAGAGAGAGTGAGAAAGAGAGACAGAGAGAGAGAGAGAGAGAGAGAGAGAGAGAGAGAGAGAGAGAGAGAGAGAGAGAGAGAGAGAGAGAACCTGTGGACATCAAGAAAAGAATCCTAGTCTGCATGCCGACATATCCCACACGAAATATCGTAATAGTGGAAATAACAGTAGCTCGTCAATGTCAGGAGGATCAGATGTCTAAGTTCACTGGAGACAGAGGATACTCACCCCGTGTGACGGGTAGGAAATCCATCCTAACTCTCCTTGGCTTGCTTTAGAATCTAACAGGTTCACTGTCGGGGTGAAGAGAGAAAACAAAGAACATATGAGTGTCTAGTCCTTGTTAGCCCCAATTAGCCCTTATCTAATCCCGCAGGACAGATCCCCGACCTCAAGCACTCTAGCGCTGATCATGCCACTGTTTACTCAGCTGCGACACAATACACATATTCTGTGCTTGGCAACAGTAAAGGCAGGGTTCCTAGTGTCACGCAAGCATACGAGCAGAAGTTGCTAGGCACAGATATCAGAAAAGAAAACATGCGCCAATGGGGGGAAAAAAGGGTTGTTTATGCTCATGTGAGTTTCTGACCCTATTGTGCCCGTTGTCAACCCCCGACACCATTTTATACATTTTTTGGGGGGGGGGGGGGAATTAGGCCACATGCAACAAACAAATAAAACAGATTGAAGTGCAATTCAGACATCTTGCTCGTAAATTTTTTCTGTATTGAGAAGACAGGTCTTCCTAATTCATGTTCAGATGCAAAATATACGAAAAGATCTATATTGACAAATAACATGAATGTGGTGGTAATCAAATGAACTGGCATCGCCACCCGCACCAATTGAAGAAAATAATGCTTAGGAAGGACAGAGGTGCTTGAATTCAGCAAGATTCTGTTTTCAAAACAAACCAAAAAAAAAAAACACCTTTTCCCAAAGTGAAAAAGTCGGCATTCAGTGTTCTTTTCCCAGAAGGACACTACAAAACAAATGTGAGAAAACTAGTGTGGGTGAGTTACAGTTCCAGAACTGTTCTGATTATTCATCCCAGGTTGACGGTGAGATGTGACGAGCAGTTTCTTGGCTGGAAAACACTCCGTTCTGTCAGCACTATTGGCAAAGTGGGGGGGATCAAACTTGACTGCAGACCAATTTTCATTTGCAATGATTATGTAGCAAGCATTTTATTTCTAATTTGTATTTACACAAATGGAAATATGTTCAAGTGAGCCAAGGAAAGAAATTTGCATTGACTCTGTGTTTTTTTTTTCAAGTTTCTCAGACATGACTTGAATAAAGGAGACCATCTGATCTAAATGCCGTTTCAGGGGTCTGCATTTTAAAATGTGTTGGCAAGAGGCATCCCGACAAACCTGACACACGTTCTATACACAAGCTGTCAACGTAGCGTGCCATGTAATTTCCATCTCAGGATTGCTGAGATGCAGGAAAAAGCCGTGCATACTGTGTCAGGAATATCCACACACTGCGCCTGGGATCTTAGCGACATCCACAAATAACTATTTAGTTGAAACTTGTATATATGAGATATATTTATTAGTTCCATTTTGATGCCCCCCCAAAAAAATAAGTTATGAGACTATTCTGCACTGTTGCGGGATTCACATTGGCCTCCTCTCTGAGTTTTTTTGTAAATAAAAGAAAATAATTGATAACTATATGGGAACTAAAGCAAGGAAATAATGTATGAGCAAGTAAAATCTTGGATTGCCCTCAGTAAATCCAAACATAAAAGTGAAGGGAAATGTCCCTAATGACATTTTAATACAGACTAAACATTTTCTTATGAATATCTAACCATTATTCCCTAACTGCAACCCTTTCAAAAATATGGCAAAATGTGATTTTTTTTTTTTTTTTGCTCCAAGCTATATTTTCAGCCCAGCACGTCTCTGCCGTGTTGGTGAAGTTGCTGCCAAATTTGACGATTTTGTGGCGGTGTCTCGTAGGTTTTTGTCCAAATTCGTGGAGCTCACATTGGCACGCGAACAAGTTTCTCGCATTACAGGAAAATTGTCCAATTTGAATATAACATTGAATCTGCTTACCTACAGTTTCATAGTACGTTACAGTGAGACGATCTCAATTTATGTCATCACACACAAGCAAATGCTATCTGTGCACAAATATATCAGTAAGTGAAGCCAGACCCAAACGATACCATACTTCTGTATGCAAATGCAGAATATACTGATGCTGAAGATGGTACAGTTTTGTCACAGTCGACACTCTGCTTTGTCAAACAAGATTTAGCCCACACAAGCAGCATTATGAAAGACGACTCTCCACTCTCGATGAGTTCATCTTGTGGTTTCACACTAGAAGAAAGCTCCATGTATCTCGTGGTGTACAAAACTGAATTTGGATCCACCTGAACTGTCGCCTCTTTGGGCCGCTCCATCAGTTGAGTGGCAGCAGACGCATTCTTATTGGAGTCTAATGAAGCTATCTGTTCATGTCAGATAATATAGCAGCTCAGCATCCAGGGCCATTGCTTCCAATTTACATTTCTCAATGAGGCGAACCCACCACTCAAATTGAGCCAAGCGGGGGGAATTTGAGAGCAGAAAATTAAACAGCTCTTATATCGCATGCGGAGGGGAAAAAAAAAAAAATCGCTCCATCCAGCTGCACCCGGCCGAGAATTCAGCACCAATAGTGGCTCAAATATAAACACTCAATTGGAGCACAGTTCCAGAAAAATACACACATTGACATCAAAATCCTCCTCAAAGTATGCCCTCTTGAAAACATGTTTGTTTATAGTATATGCACATAGTCAACATACGAAACATACGAAACATTCTAAAAAGACAAACAAAGACCTAGACGTGCCCACGAGCAGACAGAGCCAGGCCCCTCATTCATGTACGCACACTTAGCATGTTAGCATTACGCAGCCAGCCCATACCCGTGTGAGGGAGTGCATCAAACCGGGAAACGGTAGCATTTTTAGAAAACTGAGACAGACTGTATTTGAAATTTTTCAGAAGTTGAAACAGGTATTGATATATTGTACACGCCTTGGCTGTGATCATAAATTGACCCGTGTGTTGGTCAAACTGCTATTAGCAATCAAAAATATCTTTTTTTTCCCCCTTTGTTTTAATTTTTTTCTTCTACAGTAAGTCAGAAAAACAACAATCATGGACACCACTTGTTGACGCCTAGTGACATATTTGTAATATTCACTTCGCTATGTGTGCATTGTCAAGTTAATGATCTTAGCATTGATGTATTCGTCATGGAATTTCCTCTCATTATGTGGCACAAAATAACAAAATAATAACAGGAACTATTGGTGGACTCAGCTCAAAAGACATGAGTAATAGAATAGAATAGAATAGACAGATGCTCGGAATATATGCGCTACAGGCTAACGCAAAGAGCTTCGTCTTGCTATGGCGATGTGCATGTGCAGGTTGGCAGGCTGCAGTGCAGGCAAAGCAAAGCGACTTGTGTCTGTGTTAAAGGATGAAATGTTCACCTCCCATTATGAATAATTCAAGTGCAGAGTCGCTCTGTCTGATGTTACTGCTGCGTGCCCAACCCCTCTGGCCCCATTCTTCTTTCTTTCTTTTTCTTTTATCGTCACACGCCCTATACTTGTCATACACCTATACGTTCACAATAATAATGAAATAGAAATATATGGAGCACATGCACTACATAACTGTGGTTACCCACAAAATGACTTGTCTGTTATCTACAGTACATCCAATGTTCAACACTGTTTCTTGTCAGCGTCACTCGTGATTGGTTGTAACACATGAGATTGCGTGTTTTAGGTGAATGGATATTTTTGAAGGTGTCTGTTTTTTAGCATCTCTCCAAAAAAAAAAAAAAAAAAAGGTACCATAGCTGATAGATGATGAACTCGCTGCCCATCGGCCGCCTAAAAATTGCTGGTCCCAGGCCTCACAACACCCAGCAGCAAGGGCCAAATTCACACCAGCCGATACACTCGGACTCAACAGTAAAACGCAATGTTCAACGGAGGAGGGTGCGTGTATGTGTGTGTGTGTGTGTGTGTGTTCGTGTGGGGGTTTGGGGGTAGGGAGTCATAGTTGCTTCACGTTAAGGCAATACAAGGTGATATCCTCTAAATTACCCTCAATTACAATACATTTTAATCAGGAATAAAACAAGACCTGCATTACAGATTATGTTTTAAAAGTGTCGGACAATGTGATATTATTAAAGAAGATCAAATTAAATCAATATTTTAGGACATAATTAGGTATCACAATTCTAATGTATAAATAGGTTAAATGCATAACGATGGCAAGCTCAAATTTACAAAGTCATGTAAAAGTATTTGTTGACATTAAAATTAGAAGTTCAACACATTAAGGATGGGACAATTGCAAATTCACTTTGCCTTCAATCAATTTTCATAATGATACTATCATTACACGACTGAAAAAAACGTAGGTTAAACTGGCTGTTGCAATTTTTTAATAAAGTCACTGCAAACTTTTTTTCTGCAACTTAAAAGACATACAAACACACACACACTCACGTAGACGCACACACACACACGCGCGCACACACACACACACACACACACACACACACACACACACACACACACACACACACACACACACACACACACACACACACACACACACACACACACACTCAGCACTTGCAATGCTGAGTGCTCAACAAACAAAAACAAACAAACAAAAATAGAGAATGTGACAATCGTGAAACAGGGCACTCCCTCTTTTCGATTCATCCATTGATTATTTTCAGCTCATTTGAAAACATGCACGCTCGCACGGGCGCACCCACGCGCCCGCACAGCAACACGCGCGCACACACAAGCACACACGCACACGTTGAATATACAAGAACACACTAATGGAGAAATTTGCTTTAGAATGTGTTCTTCATCGAGTGATTCTAATTCAGCTCGATCTTGTGGCATAAAAAAATCTATAAAACATCATTTTGAGAGTTCCCCGCCCCAACCCAGATGTAATTATTTATTTATTAAAACTTTTTTTGGTTTGTTTGGTAAACTCACACTATATGTTAGTTTTATTTTAAAACTAAGCTAAAACCATTCAGGCTTAAAAAGTAAATAAAAGTAAATAAATAAATAACTTGAGTTGCACCTCCCAAAAAAGTTAACAAGAGTTAAACTCCTTCGCTTAATTCTGTGTACTGGCAATAAAATTAAAGGTATAAACGATTCTCGCGGTGACATGGTTTGCTGTCTCAGTCACGATGCAAACTCATCACACAACGTTTAGGTCTGTTTTTTTTCCTGATTGTTGATGTCCCACGTGAATAAGGGACAACATTAATTATATGTCAAACTTTTTGAAAAACTCCAAGTAAGTCAGTTTAGCCTGATGATCGAAACTCTTCAGGTCCATTTTTAAAACATGTTTTGCGGTGTTCGAAACCACATTCAGAGATTAAATTGACGGCCTCACAGCTGTCACTATCTTTCCCAACCGAATGGGTTCCAATGTATTTCCAATATTTTTTTTTAAAGTGCGTACACAGACATAAAGTAACATTATTGTGGTTGCTCGAAGTAAATATATTGAATGTAATCATTGTAGATTTGACAATATGACACGGTTGCACGTTAATTTATGCACGGCAACACTCGCAATTTATCCAGCAAGCGCGCACTCGTCTGCTTGTTGTTTTGATCTCTCTGCAAAATACAATTCCAAATAATATCTGCATGGCGTTAACGATGAAACCCAACAACTTTTTTTTTAAAGTTAGTATACAAAGGAGAACATGTGCGACTTTCACTTGTTTGCAGAGCAATATCAAGTGTTTAAACAGGTGACTACGTCCAGTGGACCACAACCTTCTCCTTCTGTCGTCTTTTCCACAGCCCCCACATACTATGGAATAGTGACAAAGATGGGGGAAATAGGAGTGACTCATTTCGAGTCATATGTACCGTTATTTGTTTTCGTATGATGAGTTAGAACGCTTTGGGACTATAGGCTATAAACTTCAGACGCGCGTTACGGAAGCACCAAACATAAATGACAGATAATTTGGGCGATGTGTGTCAAAACACAAAGGACAGAGATTTGCGAGTATTTACGCAAATGTGGTTTTCATATTGTTTACTTCTTAAAAATAGGAGCGCCCAGACTGCAAATTTTACGTGGCTTCGTTGAACAGAACAGATCAGCGAACCATGTAGTTTCTTTTGAGCTTTTTTTTCCACCGCCGCGGTATAACTGCGATGTCTTGGCAACATGTCTGGTCGGCAATTCGTACATTCTCCCCCATTCAAGCATTTAATCCTTATTGGAGCGATAATCCGAAATTACGGAACTCTGTCGTGTTTGTGTCTATTGTCACGTTTCAGTGTGTACAGCGTTCAGCGAGAAATACAGATGGATGTATACTAACATTCCATATGACAGACAGTAAGTACATCACCGATTCTATTGTTGTGTTTTTGGTTGGAATTACAACAATTTGGACAAATCGGCCACCAGCGCAAAACACCAGGCAAAGAAGTGAAGCACGCACGCACGCACACTAAAGAGCACATGGACAAAGAAAAAGAAGGCAGACTTTTTGCTTACCTTCATTTGGAGGGTAAACGATGGTGAAAGCTGGAAGCACGAGAGACAGTAAAAGAGGTAACATGAAAAACTGCGATCGCGAATTGCAATCCATGGCGGTGCATCAGAGGTGCATAACTCCATGAAGCCACTGACTGGTCTGAGAGCTTCGAGTACACGCGCGGCTCTCTCCCACTCTACAAACCCATGCCGACGCTTTTCCGCAGGGTCCTACAGAGTCGGTATGAGAACGCAGTAGAAAAAGAGAGGGAGAGAGAGAGCAGATACTGGTCAATTTCAACGTACCGGTCAGTCTAGATCAGGTTACTGCAACATGCACAGTTGACTGAATAAAAAAATTGGCAAATCTGTTTGACTCACAAATTAAGGTCGACACTCATTAAAACTGCAGTTTGCATTCATGAAACCATTAAACCGTAATAAATAAAATTGTTGGCATTTTATTGCAAAGGACGAATTTGACAGTTTCTGAACAAAGAGAAGGGAAAAAAAGACATTTACACCACTTCATTTAAACACAGACGTATGATGAAACAGTATGCAGCGAAAGCAAAGGAAAATTTATGGACAGACAGAATTAACCATTGTCCGTCAAGCTACTCCTATTTTCTAGGTTTTGCCTGCCTATGGTGCACCACAATTTTACAAGTATCAGTTTTTTTTTCATTTCTAATTTACTGCACAAATTAATTGGATTAAAGTCAATGATTGATGGTATACACTTGACTGCTGCCGTTCAAGCACTGGTGCTATTTCACAAGTCCTACAAATGGCAGTAATGCACGTTTCAAAATTTCTTTTCACAGAGTTCAACAGAAACCCGAAAAAGGTGAAGAAGTTGCAGCCACGCCTCTAGGGCTCGGAACTACAATACAGTGTGGTACCCCAATTCAAAAATGTAACTCGTTTCCTGACTCTGTTCACGAACCAAATGGTTTGTGAATCGATGTAATGGTTCCCATTGAAATGAAAGGAAATGCAATTAATTGGTTCCATCCCTATAAATAAGTTGTATTCACTTTGGATTTGTCTGTGTGTAGCTAAAAATAAGTATAGTATATAAAAAAGTTAAAACACACTTTGTTGAAATAATATGGTTCACTAGCAAATAATTGTGCCAAGTCTGAGCCTTTTCGCACATGGCGTTGTATGCTTGGGCAACCGTGATGCAATGCGGGATCTAATGGCCATTTTGGTCGAATGGCATCCATGATAAATGGAAAAAAAGTTGTGTAGATGCACACTGAAAGGCGGTTTAAAATGTAAGAAAGGGGAGGGGATTTTTGCAATGAAACATTGGACCAGGAAGCTCTGCTAACACTATCATATTGACAGACGTTCACCTCTCATGGGGCGGCTAACATTCACGGGCAGGCACCGGTGTCTCTGATCCTGCGGCTCCTCCTTCGGTGTAGGGAGTGCCGTTGAGGGCCCAGGACTTCTTTGCATCCACCAAGGATAACTGTTTTTTTTTTTGTTTGTTTGTTTGTTTGTTTTTTAAACTTGACAAAGTGTTGGTATTCCAGCTCTGGCCTTTCCTGTGTGGAGTTTCCATGGTGTCCCCGTGCCTACATGGGTTTTCGCCGGGTACTGTGATTTTCTCCCACATTCCAAAAACATGCATTGCTGGTTAATGGAACACTCTAAATTTAAACCCTTGCGCTGAAGAAAACCCAGCAATGGTCAATGAAGTTGCTTGTAATTAACAAGAGTGGAATTTGTCGAAAGCTCCTGTAAGAATGTCCTTTGGACAAATAAGACATAGCTGATCTTTTTTGGCAAGTCACACAAGCTCTTCATTTACTGGTGACAAAATTAAGCATACAAAGAAAATAAGACTGAAAGTCTGGTGAATACATGGAGGAGGCTTGGATACATTCTGGGGCTGCTTTGTTGCATCTGATACAGAGGATCTCGAATCTGTGCATGGTACAATTAAATGTCAAGACCAAGACCAAGGAATCCTGGAGCTAAATGTGCTGCCCAGTGTCAAAAAGCCCATGCGTCCATAAGTATCTTAAAACAACCAAAAGTGGCCTTCGATAAGCCTTGATATAAAGCCTATTAAACATCTGTGGAAGGAGGCGAAACATACAGTTTGGAGAAGTCTGAAAAGTGGAAGAATGCAGGTGCCTAACTGTGATTGAGTTGCTGTGATCGCCTCAAAACGAAATATGAAGTTAACAAAAATGTTGTTCCAGTCTGGGTTTATATGTTGTCATTGTGTTTTAGTTGTTGTTGTTGGGTTTTTTTGTTGTTTGTGTTTTAACAAATCTATGAGACCAAAAAAGGTTCTGGTGTTCATATGTTAATTTACTGTATTTCTAAAGAGTTTTTATTAAATTTGTCAGGTTTCAAATTATCTCTGAGTCCTTTTTTGGGGGGGGTTCCCCTCGACAAGAGCATCACCAAGAGTATACACATAACACCCACTATAATGTAGTGTGTTTGAGTGCGTCTGTTTGTGTGTGTGTGTGTGTGTGTGTGTGTGTGTGTGTGTGTGTGTGTGTGTGTGTGTGTGTGTGTGTACAGTCATTCCACTCACTGTGAAAATCCCCATTTTTTTCCCTCAGTCCTAAAGTCAAGGTTTTCAGTCTGGCTGGAGTTTTCCCAAAAGCGTGTTTTATTGTCTGACATTTTTAGTGACCAAAGTTACTTGTCGACAGCGGAAAAAAACCACAGAGAAAAAAAAAACATGGAAAAGGAAAATACATTTTTGCGAAAATGGGTTAACACGCTTGTTTCATGAGTAAATACTAAATGTATGACAAAACAGATGGTGGTGCATACATCATGCACTCCAATCCAACTGGGAGCAAAAAAATAAATAAAATAAAATAAATAAATACACAACAATCATTGCCATTAAAAGTACAAGTAAAAACAAGCGTTACTTAAGAAATATTTAGAAGTGACGAGGTGGAAAGATTAGCAAATAATCAACAACAATCCAAAATTAAACTGGTTTAACGATGAACATATGAAGCTAAAAGTAAAAGTACCCATCTTCTTGTCTACAGTACATGAAAACTCCTGTATTTGACAGCTTTCTTTTTGAAGTTCAAATGTTCAGAAATAAGCTTGATTGGGTGGAAAATGAATAAGCTAAGCATTGACCTTGAGTGATTTGGACTTGAAGCAATAAACAAAACATACCAAAATGATTCAGGAAAATCCCTGTAAATTTTCGATGTTGCGGTATCGTCCAATTTGTCTTCGTCTTAAGTCTTCCTTTGGCCTAACAAAATGTTCTTGTGTTTCAAAAAGGCACTTTATAGAAAGACCTTTGGCACTGACGGGGATATTTAAACATTTCTACGGTTATAATATACTGTATTGTAAATCAAATGTAGAGAATAGGACCAAACGATGGTGGTTTGAAGAGGATACATCCAATCTACACAACCGTGCAGGCGAAATCTTTTGGCATTGAGGGATATGATATCCTACTGTGTGCATGTTTCCGCGAGGGCCATTAGGGGCCCCTGACACCACTAGACTTGATCCGCAGCAAAAGCCTGCACGGACAGTGTAACGTCAGGGTCTGTGCAGGGACACCAGCTGTTGTGGTGGGGGGTTGACGGCTGCAAAGGCATTTGACGTATGGACAAAGTTAGAGGAGACAGCAACTAACAACACAGTTACTCGCCCAGATTCTTGGAAACAGCGTCTGAATTTTTTAGCTAGAACTCATGCGTGGTCACAAAGGCAGCAACTGACAGGAACTTGGTTTAAATTATTACAAACATGCTCCACATTATCTTGTGATTGGGATTTTTCACACAAGAGGTACTCGTTGAAGTTATGATGATTACATGTGTATGTCAACTAAATTCTTGACATTTCTGGCATGGGCTGGAATGCCTTGTGTATAAATGGGATGTTGATTTTTCTTTTTGGTCAGATTTTTAATTTCAGATTTTTGTTCTTCTTACACAGTCTTTTTTGTATATGCAATTTTCTGTCTATGCATATGTATGCTATTATAGGGCCTCCTCACATTTCATTTCTTTTTCAGAAAGGCCCTGGTTTGCCTCTCCTGATGGTGTGACTCTGCTAACAGTGGGCTTGGATGCGTCTACAGTTCAATCCCTGTTTTCATCAGCATGTCAAGACCGATTTTGAGTCACGTAATTAAGACAGATGGGATACTGTTCATTTCCACTTCGGAATAGTGAGTGAAGCTTCCTTCAAATCGAGTGTTTTCCATTTAGCATTGTTCTTCTCTCTCTCTCTCTCTCTCTCTCTCTCTCTCTCTCTCTCTCTCTCTCTCTCTCGCTCTCTCTCTTGTTCATATATCTCCTGCCATCAACAGGAGGCTCAGCCTACCATACTTGCAGGTCATATGAACCACTTATATGAGCTGTTGGGTTGTCATATTTATTTTTAATATAGACATAGTAGTGCAGTATACTGGGCTCCGTGAAGGTAATTATGAATTCTGGCCTACCAATTGAAATAATAAGGATCAACGTGAAGAGGTTTCTTGCCACATTGTATCTTAGAGCAAATTACAGCAAATTTGAATCTACGTGTCGGATATCATCTTAGAGTTCAGCATCCCGGTAATTAACTTCTTAAACTTTAAATGACATGAATAAAGAAATGCCCTTTTGCTTTCATCCAATTCAACTCAACTGGGGTTTGGTTTTTGGATTAAAACTCACCGACATGGGGTCATGTCACGGGGTCGCTCCATGCCTGCTGAGCTTGTGCTAAGCTAAAGCATGTGCTAAGCTAAATCATGTGCTAGGACAATGCAACGCTGACTGGTCTTTGTTGGAAGTCTATGCTCAGGAGTGCAACGTCAACTAACTGTTTAGTCCAAACCATGTTTTCATATCTCCATGGGATTACCAAAAAATAAGGTTTCCTTTGCCTCACAGGGACAGGCATGTTGATGTGGAGTTTTCAGCCACAACCTGCAAGCCAGTAATGGGAAAAGTAACAAAAGGCTTTTTATAATAAATGTGACCACGGATTTACCGTGTTTATATAAGGCATGGGGTCTTTTGCTTTTGGTGATAATGTCAAAGATTTTGGAACTTTGGTGCATCATGACTGAAATATGTTTGAATGTTTCACTGTGTGCGTAGTTCTTTGTGTGGATTTTTTTGTCTTTCCAATTTGTTCCTTTAGCAGGGACCTCCTTATAAACAGGTGGAGGAGGATACTGATAGTTAGTAA